GGGATTGGGAATTTTGGGTTTGGAATTTGGGGATTGGGAATTTTGGGTTGGAATTTGGGGATTGGGAATTTTGGGTTTGGAATTTGGGGATTGGGAATTTTGGGTTGGAATTTGGGGATTGGGAATTTTGGGTTTGGAATTTGGGGATTGGGAATTTGGGGTTGGAATTTGGGGATTGTGTGGGAATTCGGAGCAAAATTTGGGAATTTTGGTTAAAATCTGGGAATTGTGAGGAATTCGTGTTAAAAATCCTGGAATTTTGTGCAATTCCTGTTAAAAATCCTGGAATTCCAAGGGATTCCTGTTAAAAATCCTGGAATTCTGTGCAATTCCTGTTAAAAATCCTGGAATTCCAAGGGATTCCTTTTAAAAATAATGGAATTTCATGAAATTCCTACCAAAAATCCTGGAATTCCAAGGAATTCTGGCTAAAAATCTGGGAATTCCAAGGAATTCCTGCTAAAAATCCAGGAATTCTAAGGAAATTTTCCCAAAATTCCAAGGAATTCCTGCCAAAATTTGGGAATTCTGAGGAATTCCTCAAAAAAAAATCTTAGAATTCTGTGAAATTCCTACTAAAAGTTTGGGAATTCTGAGGAATTCCTGCTAAAAATCCTGGAATTCCAAGGAAATCCTCCCAAAATTCCAAGGAATTCCTGGAATTCCATGAAATTATTACCAAAATTTGGGAATTCTGGTTAAAAATTTGGGAATTCTGAGGAAATGCTGCTAAAAATCCTGGAATTCTGTGCAATTCCTATGAAAAATCTGGGAATTCCAAGGAAATCCTTCTCAAATCCTGGAATTCCAAGGAAATTCTCCCAAAATTCCAAGAAATTGCTTGGAATTCCATGGAATTCTGTGAAATTCCTATTAAAAATTAGGGAATTCCAAGGAATTCCTGCTAAAAATCCTAGAATTCCAAGGAAATCATCCTGAAACTTGGGAATTCCAAGGAAATCGTCCTCAAATCCTGGAATTCCAAGGAAATTTGGGAATTTTCTGAGAATTTTCTGGCAAATTCTGGGAATTTTTTTGGAAATTCCTTCTAAAAATTTGGGAATTCCAAGGAATTCTTGCTAAAAATCCTGGAATTCCAAGGAAATCCTCCCAAAATTCCTTCAAATTCTTGGAATTCCCTGAAATTCCTGCTAAAAATCCTGGAATTCCAAGGAAATCTTTCTCAAATCCTGGAATTCCATGGAATTCTTACCAAAAATCCTGGAATTCCAAGAAAATTCTTGCTAAAAATCTGGGAATTCCAAGAAATTTCTTCCTCAAAATTTGGGAATTCCAAGGAAATCCTCCCAAAATTCCTTGGAATTCTGGGAATTCTGTGAGATTTCTACTAAAAATCTTGGAATTCCAAGGAATTCCTGCTAAAAAATCCTGGAATTTCAAGGAAATTGTCCTGAAACTTGGGAATTCCAAGGAAATCCTCCCAAAATTCCTTCAAATTCTTGGAATTCCATGAAATTCCTGCTAAAAATCCTGGAATTCCAAGCAAATCTTTCTCAAATCCTGGAATTCCATGGAATTCTTACCGAAAATCCTGGAATTCCAAGGAAATTCTTGCTAAAAATCTGGGAATTCCAAGGAAATCGTTCTTAAATCCAAGAATTCTGTGGAATTCTTACCAAAAATCCTGGAATTCCAAGAGAATTCTTGCTAAAAATCTGGGAATTCCAAGAAATTCCTCCTCAAATCCTGGAATTCCAAGGAAATCCTCCCAAAATTTCTTGGAATTCTGGGAATTCTGTGAGATTTCTACTAAGGAATTCCAAGGAAATCCTCCCAAAATTTCTTGGAATTCTGGGAATTCTGTGAGATTTCTACTAAAAATCTTGGAATTCCAAGGAAATCCTTCTCAAATTTGGGAATTTTTGGAGAATTTTCTGGCAAATTCCGGGAATTTTGGGGGAAATTCCTACAAAAACCTTGGGAATTCCAAGGAATTCCTGCTAAAAATCCTGGAATTCCAAGGAATTCCTCCTCAAATTTGGGAATTCCAAGGAAACCCTCCCAAAATTCCTCAGAATTCCTGGAATTCCGTGAAATCCCTACCAAAATTCCCACAATTCCACCCCCACCTTTTCGTTTCTCCCTCAATTCCCACCCTGGATAAAAACCCCCCAGGAATTTTTCCTTTTCCCAGCGATTTTTCGGGAATTCCGGGAATTCCTGGAATTTTTTCCCGGTTTTTTTTCCCTAGGAAAGGAGCGAGGGGGAGCTGGAAAAGCTCCGGAGCGGCCTCGTGCTCTGCTACGGCCGCGTGGCCGAGGCGGCGCCTCCGGAACTGCTCCATTCCCGCCTGGAATCCCAAATCCTGAAAAATCTCCTGGAAAACGGCCACACCAAGGTGAGAGCGGGGAAATTCCCGGGAAATTCGGGTTTTTGGGGAATTTTTTGGGATTTTTTGGGATTTTTTGGGATTTTTTGGGATTTTTTGGGATTTTTTGGGATTTTTTTTGGATTTTTTAAGGATTTTTTTGGGGAATTTTTAGGGGGATTTGGGGATTTTTTTGTATTTTTTAAGGATTTTTTTGGGAATTTTTTTGGGATTTTGGGGAAATTTTTTTTGGAAATTTTTTGGAATTTTTAGAGAAATTTATTTGGATTTTTTTGGATTTTTTTGATTTTTTAAGGAATTTTTTTGGAATTTTTTTGGGATTTGGGGATTTTTTGGGGATTTTTTGGGGGGATTTTTTGGGATTTTTTGGGATTTTTTAGAGATTTTTTGGGACTATTTTGGGGATTTTGGGGAAATTTTTTTGGGAATTTTTGGGAATTTTTCGATAAATTTTTGGGGATTTTTTGGGGATTTTTTGGGGGATTTTGGGGAAATTTTTTTGGAAATTTTTGGGAATTTTTAGAGAAATTTTTTGGAATTTTTTTTCGATTTTTTTGATTTTTAAAGGATGTTTTTTGGAAATTTTTTGGGGGATTTAGGGATTTTTTTGTATTTTTTAAGATTTTTTGGGGGATTTTTTGTATTTTTTAAGATTTTTTGGGGGATTTTTTGGATTTTTTAAGGATTTTTTTTTGGGAATTTTTTTGGGATTTTGGGGAAATTTTTTTGGAAATTTTTTGGAATTTTTAGAGAAATTTATTTGGATTTTTTGGGGATTTTTTGGATTTTTTAAGGAATTTTTTTGGAATTTTTTTGGGATTTGGGGATTTTTTGGGGATTTTTTGGGGGATTTTTTGGGATTTTTTAGAGATTTTTGGGATTTTTTGGGGGATTTTGGGGAAATTTTTTTGGAAATTTTTGGGAATTTTTCGATAAATTTTTGGGGATTTTTTGGGGATTTTTTGGATTTTTTAAGGATTTTTTTGGGAATTTTTTGGGGATTTTTTGGGATTTTGGGGGGGATTTTTTTGAGATTTTGGGGAAATTTTTTTGGAAATTTTTGGGAATTTTTAGAGAAATTTATTTGGATTTTTGGGGGATTTTTTGGATTTTTTAAGGAATTTTTTTGGGATTTTGGGATTTTTTGGGGATTTTTGGGGGGATTTTTTGGGATTTTTTGGGATTTTTTAGAGATTTTTTTGGGACTTTTTGGGGATTTTGGGGAAATTTTTTTGGGAATTTTTGGGAATTTTTCGATAAATTTTTGGGGATTTTTTGGGGATTTTTTGGGGGATTTTTTTTGGGATTTTGGGGAAATTTTTTTGGAAATTTTTGGGAATTTTTCGAGAAATTTTTTGGGATTTTTTTTTTTATTTTAGGGGGTTTTTTTTGAGTTTTTGGGCGATTTTTTGGGAATGTTCCAGGATTTTTTAGGGATTTCTGGGGGAATTTTACAGGAATTTTTTGGGATTTTTGGGGAATTTTTTTGTTGTTATTTTGGGGATTTTTTGGGAATCTTTGGGAATTATTTTGGGAAAAATTTTGGGATTTTTTAGGGATTTTTGGAGAGTTTTTTGGGATTTATTTGGGATTTTTTTAGGATTTTTTTGGGGATTTCTTGGAATTTGGGGGGGATTTTTGGGGCGATTTTTTGGGGGGGTTTTGAGGATTTTTTGGGAATTTTTGTGGGGATTTCTTGGGATTTTTTAGGGGGGATCATTTGGAATTTATGGGGGATTTTTTTGGAATTTTCCAGGAATTTTTAGGGATTTTGGGGGGAATTTTTTTAGAATTTTGTGGGGATTTTTTTAGGGATTTTTATGGGAATTTTCCAGGACTTTTTAGGGAATTCTGGGGGATTTTGGGGGAATTTTTTTGAGGATTTTGAGAATTTTTGGGGGAAATTTTTGGGGATTTTGGGAAAATTTTTCAGAATTTTTAGAGGA